CATGTCCATTCTATTACCCGCCCTCCTGCCCCTCTGTCAGAGTTGCTGGCAAGAGGGAGATCAGCGGGTGTAGGGGCGGTGGTGCCTGATATACCGACGCATGAGCGCGGCACTCAAGGGGGCGCCACAGCTGGCCCTAGGGATTCCGCTAAGGCAAAAATCTCCCACGGCCGTACACATGGGCACGCACACACCTAGAATGGAAGTGACATGAGCAACACATCTCGAAGAACAACAGTAACAAAAGGTAGGTAACAGTTTTTTCTTTCATGAAAAATAGTACTTAGTTAGCGGGAGCTTGGTACATCGATGGAGACTTTAGTACTTTCATTCAGCTAAAACCCAATATCCTCTCCTACCTCTACAACTTCATCATTTTTATAAATATAGCAATTGCTGTATATGATCTGATCCAAGCCCACCTTGTCCAGTATCCTTCCTCTGGGAGTGGTCATAGAATATCAGAGTTGGAAGGCACCTCTGGAGGTCATCTAGTCCAACCCCCTGCCCAGAGCAGGACCAATCCCCAACTAAATCATCCCAGCCAGGGCTTTGTCAAGCCTGACCTTAAAAACTTCTAAGGAAGGGGATTCCACCACCTCCCTAGGTAACTCATTCCAGTGTTTCACCACCCTCCTAGTGAAAAAGTTTTTCCTAGTATCCAACTTAAATCTCCCCCACTGCAACTTGAGACCATTACTCCTTGTCCTGTCATCTGCTATCACTGAGAATAGAATTTGGATCCACCTTTCAGGTAGTTGAAAGCAGCTATCAAATCCCCCCTCATTCTTCTCTTCCGTAGACTAAACAATCCCAGTTCCCTCAGTCTCTCCTCATAAGTCATGTGTTCCAGACCCCTAATCATTTTTATTGCCCTTTGCTGGACTCTTTCCAATTTTTCCATATCCTTCTTGTAGTGTGGGGCCCAAAACTGGACACAGTACTCCAGATGAGGCCTCACCAATGTCGAATAGAGGGGAACGATCACGTCCCTCGATCTGCTGGCAATGCCCCTACTTATACAGCCCAAAATGCCATTGGCCTTCTTGGCAACAAGGGCACACTGTTGACTCATATCCAGCTTCTCGTCCACTGTCACCCCTAGGTCCTTCTCTGCAGAACTGCTGCCGAGCCATTTGGTCCCTAGTCTGTAGCGGTGCATTGGATTCTTCCGTCCTAAGTGCAGGACTCTGCACTTGTCCTTGTTGAACCTCAGATTTCTTTTGGCCCAATCCTCCAATTTGTCTAGGGCCCTCTGTATCCTATCCCTACTCTCCAGCGTATCTACCACTCCTCCCAGTTTAGTGTCATCCGCAAACTTGCTGAGGGTGCAATCCACACCATCCTCCAGATCATTAATGAAGATATTGAACAAAACCGGCCCCAGGACCAACCCTTGGGGCACTTCGCTAGATACCAGCTGCCAGCTAGACGTGGAGCCATTGATCACTACCCGTTGAGCCCGATGATCTAGCCAGCTTTTACGCACCTTGTAGTGCATCCATCCAGCCCATACTTCTTTAACTTGTTGACAAGAATACTGTGGGAGACCGTGTCAAAAGCTTTGCTAAAGTCAAGGAATAACATGTCCACTGCTTTCCCTTCATCCACAGAGCCAGTTATCTCATCATAGAAGGCAATTAGATTAGACAGGCATGACTTGCCCTTGGTGAATCCATGCTGACTGTTCCTGACCACTTTCGTCTCCTCTAAGTGCTTCAAAATTGATTCCTTGAGGACCCGCTCCATGATTTTTCCGGGGACTGAGGTGAGGCAGACTGGCCTGTAGTTCCCAGGATCCTCTTCCTTCCCTTTTTTAAAGATTGGCATTACATTAGCCTTTTCCAGTCTTCCGGGACTTCCCCAGATCACCATGAGTTTTCAAAGATACAAGATGCTTTAGATGCAAGAAACCACAAAGTGAGTCCCCCTCATAAGCATTCTTGTCAATGGATTATAAAATGAGAGAGAAAAATATTACAGGCCGTCCCTGATCAGGAGTTTGGGAAAAGGAGAAATTTTAGGGTTTGGAATTCTTTCACAAAAGAGAAAAACTGCTTCCTCAGCACAATTCAGGCAGTTCAGTTGTCCATTCCCTGCCTAAGAGAATCACCAAAAGTATGAATCAGACATTTGATACCTCATTAAAGTGAGCATTGTGGTTAGTGAGTTTCAGATTGGCTCCGCTCACTTATGCTAAAGCTTTGAATCCACATGTCTGGTGCTGCTCTCCATGTTTACTCATGGTTAACTAGGCACTTCCCGATATCTAGGAACTACCTTTTGGGGTGAAAGTAGAGGCAAAATAGTGGTGATGCTGGTTTTGTTAGAAAATCCACACAGAGTGAGAGAGCAGCCATTTTGGATGTATCCTCTATATTGGTGCTATTTGGGCTGCAAGAGATACCGGAAAAGAGTGAAATTCATCCCTGTGCAGCAGGCCATGTCGAGTGGTTATAGAGTTCCTTGACCTCCAAAGTTATTAGAGAGGACCAGGATATGTTGCCGGGGGAGATTAATAAAGAGAGACTTCCTGGTCAGTAGGGTTGTGACCTAGCCAGTTTTTAGTTGGCCTCCCTGGTGTTTTGACTGGCTGGCTGGCTGCTGGTTGCAGTGTGCTGGTTTGGGGTGGTTTTTTTTTTTTTTCCCTACTTGGAAAAAGAAACCTGCCATATTGAAACGAGCAACTGTAAGCTGCTCAGCCAGCAGTACATAGGTCACGTGGTGCTGGGAAGGACGGACAGACCTGAGGCTTGCTAGTGGAGACCAGGATGGGGGAAGGTGGGGCTCCTGCAAGGGGACAGTAGTGCAGGCTTCTTCAAGGACTGAGGTTCCTGTGAGAAGGGCTCATGGGCCTGGGGGGCAGTGGTGGGAGAGTGCACCTGAAAGAGGAAAAGGTGGAGGTACCAAACCTACATATCAGGGAGTTCTCTAGTTGCTTCTGAAGATATGGCTCTGTGGTTATGTTCTCACACTCCAAGCAAGAACTAGGTGCACCCCTTTCTCTCAAAAAAAGGGGTGCTTTAGTGGGACATTTCACCCTGTCAAGGTTCCTCCCCCACTCTGAACTCTAGGGTACAGATGTGGGGACCTGCATGAAAAACCTCCTAAGCTTATCTTTACCTGCTTAGGTCAAAACTTCCCCAAGGTACAAAATATTCCACCCGTTGTCCTTGGATTGGCCGCTACCACCACCAAACTAATACTGGTTACTGGGGAAGAGCTGTTTGGATGCGTCTTTCCCCCCAAAATACTTCCCAAAACCTTGCACCCCACTTCCTGGACAAGGTTTGGTAAAAAGCCTCATCAATTTGCCTAGGTGACTACAGACCCAGACCCTTGGATCTTAAGAACAATGAACAATCCTCAACACTTGCACCCCCCCTTTCCTGGGAATGTTGGATAAAAAGCCTCACCAATTTGCATAGGTGACCACAGACCCAAACCCTTGGATCTGAGAACAATGAAAAAGCATTCAGTTTTCTTACAAGAAGACTTTTAATAAAAATAGAAGTAAATAGAAATAAAGAAATCCCCCTGTAAAATCAGGATGGTAGATATCTTACAGGGTAATTAGATTCAAAAACATAGAGAACCCCTCTAGGCAAAACCTTAAGTTACAAAAAAGATACACAGACAGAAATAGTTATTCTATTCAGCACAATTCTTTTCTCAGCCATTTAAAGAAATCATAATCTAACACATACCTAGCTAGATTACTTACTAAAAGTTCTAAGACTCCATTCCTGGTCTATCCCCGGCAGAAACCAGCATATAGACAGACACACACACCCTTTGTTTCTCTCCCTCCTCCCAGCTTTTGAAAGTATCTTGTCTTCTCATTGGTCATTTTGGTCAGGTGCCAGCAAGGTTACCTTTAGCTTCTTAACCCTTTACAGGTGAGAGGAGCTTTCCCCTGGCCAGGAGGAGGTTTACCCTTCCCTTTATATTTATGACACACCCCTTTTGCAAAAATTGCTGCCCTATATAAAAAAACAACTACTAAATCATTCGGGAATGTGAATTGGGTGACAGGGTTGCTCAAAAGATTGGTAGTATAAGATGGTGCTTTTATATCTAGATCACGGATTCAAATCAAATGTTTTATAAGCCAGATGTTTTAAGGAGAGTCTGGGGGATGTTTGCATTTGTGCATGGAATGGCTAAATCAAGTAATTCTGTTTGCATTAGAGTTTAATTACTCTTGACCCTCCAGAATTAAACTTAAAAATATTTTTGAGCAATTTCCTATTTATTGTCTGCTTCTCGCCTCTGGGGTATCTAAGGCCTCTCTGACTCAGTATCTCTAACAATAAAATGTACTGCTCTTGCCATATACCTGAAGGGATTGTAGGGTGGTGAATTCCTGATAATAAGAGAGATTTAAATTCTGCTGTGCTGCTTAACAGGCAAGACTCTTAGGTGAAATGCCCAAGTGTTGCATATATTAAAAATATGCCTCATAGTCCTCCTCAAATTGAGCTGAATTAGATAAATGCACTTTTTAAAACAGAAGAAATAATTCTTTTTAAAATAGATAATATACCTGCTAATAAATGACATTTGTTAGTGCTCCACCACTTAGAGGTAATTTATGGACATGGGGGGGAGGAAGGGATTCATTTTAATATCATTTTCTTTCACTTGAACTAATTCTATGCTTATAGAATCCTCTTGTTTGGGTTCATAAAGCAGCTTGTTGGTTTGGGATTTTTTTTTTGCCATTCCCTACTATTGCCATTTTATCTCCAGATGAAACTCCTGTTTGTGTGGAGGGGGAAAAAAAGAAAGGGAGAAAGAGAGACAAACGGTTCCTGTTGGAGGAGAGCGTTTTGGCTTCTCTCTGTATAGATTATGTTCAGATTGGTTACCCTTTTTATCTTGCTTTAATGTGCCTGGGTTCGCTCTCTGTTGCTGCTGCCTCTGCCACTATCTTCTGTCACCCCTAATGATTCTGATAAAGTGCAATTCTAGAAGAGAATGTTGCCTCTTAATTTCAGGATGGATGGCCACCTCAGGGGCTGTGTGGTGCTGCATTGTGAATCTGAATGGAGAATGCATTACTTCAAGGACTCCATACTCAAATGAACCACTAATGAAAGAGCATTGGAGTCCTGAAAAGAAGCAGAGACTGGAACAAGTTTAACAGTCAATTTGAAGGTCAATTTAAAGTAAGAGCTGACTGTTTTTTTTCTTTTCTTTTTCTTCTTATGGGGGTGGGTGTCATTTGTGTCTTGTTAAAGGCTATTAGCTGTATTCAGATTACTATATTTAATCACCCAAACAAGTTAGAATTACAGCTAAAGTCTCCCTGTCAAAACTCAGTTGAGCTATCCACTATTTTAAGATGTGTAAGCAAGCTGCCTCCTGTATAGCTTCTTCGAGGATGTGCTCAACAGTAAAACAGAACAACCTGCATGCTGTTAGAATTAAAGCAAGAAAGCAAATCTGCGAAGGAAAATTTGATCTGTGCAGCAACAGAAACACACAGTACTTGTTTAAAAAAGAAGACAACGAGGGTCACTGCACCCAGGATGAAAATTCCCCTCAGGGTTACTTTTCTTTTTATGTTAATTTGCATTTTAAGGTCATATGACTCCATCTACAACAGTGCACCTATGCTGTTTGCCAGCAAGTAATTAGATTTGATATTCTGTGTCTTACAATTAATTCTCTACGCTTACAGCTCTGCTCAATTTTACACTGTAGGTTTTCATTACATTATTAGCACATTTTATGATACAGAAAATTACTAAAAAAACTTTCATGTTTTCCCTCCCAGTGGGAGGACTTGGAGTAGTTTGTATCTGTCAAATGTGCACAAGGAAAATATTCAACACAATTTTTTTTTCATTTGAGAAACAGGCCTGTATTCATTGGGGTGCTGTTAAATCACCTTGGATTCTTTTGTGGGGCTTATATTTTTCCATCTATTACAGTACAGGTAATTAAAAAACTAAACTGGACAGACAGAATTATTTTCAAGCTGACTGGAAACCTCTAAACAGATTTCCTGCATTTCTTTATGGTTTTTGGACAGAAATTCATGTGATTTCGAAAGTGCTTTTGCGAGCCTGCGTTTCAGTTCTTTCTCTAAGTTTATTAAATAGACTAATCTGTGAGTTCATACTTCTTTTCTTTGCCAAGACAACTACTTCTCAAAAATAACCCAGCACTCAAGAGCCAATAAACACTGGTTTCTGTGCGTTGTTCCACAGCTGAGATGCACTAAAGCCTTACTCAGGGAAATGTGCAAGAGAAGAAAGCTTGAAGTGATACTGTGTGCTGGGATGCGGAGATTAAAACAGTATGAAGGGATCTAATGCATGTGTGGGACATTGCTTTAAAATTAGTCTTTTCTATATTTGGACAGTCAGGTGTTTAATATTTTCCTACAGAATGAGATTGTCCCCTGTTGTTTTGAATATCTCTCTCTCTCTCTCTCTCTCTCTCTCTGCCTCTGCCCTTTTCCCCTGGGTACAGCAAACTATCTCAGCAAATTGAGAGCTAGCCAGTTTTGCCACATATCTCCTTACCTCTGGGTGTTGCTGTCAGACTTTCTTTTAACTTAGGCCAGATCTACACTACTAATAGCTTATAGTGAATAAGCCACTCCCCTGAGCAACATAAATTACACTAATCTAAGTGCCAGTGTGGAAAGCGCTGTGTCAGCGGGAGAGCTTCTCCTGCTGATATAGCTACTGCCTCTTGTGGAGGTGAATTTATTATGCCAACAGGAGAGTTCCCGTCAGCATAGAGCATCTTAACCAAATGCGCTACAGCAGCATCCAGTGCAGCTGTGCCGATGTAGCGCTTTTAGTGTAGATTAGCCCTTAAAGAATTGCAGCCTGCATGCTAATGAGCCCTTGCACAGGGTACCTTAGCTGTGTAGGACCAGCAGAATTTTGCACATTCTCGTTTGCTTTTTTTTTTTCTTATCCACTGATAGATGTTGATGCCACTGATAGAAAACATTGCCTGCAGTTCTGACTCAGTCTCTAGCATTTCATAGATGTAGAGCATTAATTCTTGCCAGCACATGGCCAATGTTGTCCGCAAACTGTTTGCAGTAGCTTCTGGTTTGGGGATGATGAAGATTCATGCAGTGATCATTAGTTTACATTGAAAGCATCTGCAAAGTTTTGCATTGTTCTCAAGACACACAGGTCATGGCAGATCTTGAGAGCTGCTACCTTTTCCCCAACTAGCTTTTGACCAGGCCCTGCTAATCACTGTAAAAACCAGAATAGAACAGGGTAGCTCATTAGTCTAGAGCATGTGGGAAAGTGCCCCTCAGTGGTGTGCCTGCCACACTTTTCAAACAAGTCCTGTTGCTGTTGCTTTGGATCTGTATTCCCACCCCACCCCATACACACATGCAGTAAAATGTGCTCCTGTGCACTTGACAGTGTTGGGCCTCTGGAGCAGGCTGCAGCTGCCCCCATGCAATTCTATGGCCAGTTCTCTCACCTCCAAATACAACTAGCTCCCACTGAAGTATATAGACATTGTTTGTATCCTCAAGTGGAAGAATTAAGCTCCCTGTGTTTTAGGAATTTATTCCTCTGTTTGAGTGTGAATTCCAGTCTATAGAACAATTCAGTCTCCTGTACGTGACTCTCATATTAGTAATTCTGGTTACAGCAGAAGAAAAATATTGCTAAGAAATGTTAAATCAGTCATTACCACATTGGGGATTATATATTTAAATTCAAACACGTGGCTGTTATTATTTTGTTGTTGCTTTATTTAGGACTCTCACCTTCTGGGCATAGCAGGATGCAAAGGATATTCATGTGGCTTTCGCACATTCCCTTACTATTGGTAAGACTTGCACATGAATAGATGGTCATAGGGAGCACAGTTTGCAAAGGAATTTAAGACAAACTCTTGAATTCCTTTGAATCCAGAAATTAAATTTAGAGGCTAGTTGATAATCTGAAGCTGATCACTTCAGCTGGATACAAAGCAGAGTCCATCTGTTTTTCAAATGAGAAGTAGCAAATATTTTCAAATGGAATCACAATTTATTTAATTCATTATTAATTGCTTAGATAGTCCAATTCACGGTGATTAATTCCTAAAATTGACTTAATTATAATTGTCTAGATTGTCATTCTCCCAATAATTAATTCTAAAAATTGCAGAATCATAATAATCTCTAAATAATACATGCTTTTTAAAATCCTGCAATTGCACAAAGTTCAGAACATCCCATTATCCATAATGAAAGATAAAATACTTTTTGGAGGCTTGGTGATTACACTCAGTCATGGTACCTGCAGATTGTCGAATCCATCAGTCAGCAAAACACATCCCTAATAAAGTTACAAAGTGAGAAAGAACACAAAGTACTTCTAGGTCCATTCAACTGTCATCTTTTATAGCACTTCTGCTATTCTTGGTTAGTGAAGCCAGTAGGAGCTGTGAAAATTGCATTTATTTAGGTGCCTAAATATGAAATTTAGGATCCTAAGTTTGGAAATTTGGGTGTTAGTTCCAGATTGTTCAATATATCCTAAAACAGAAGCAGAAAATTATTTGAGTTCCATTCCTAGCTAAACTCATAGCAGCTGATACTAATGAAGGCGGTGGATAATCTTGCAGTAACTGCCACATTCAAGTAGAAATTTGGAACGGGCTGGACATATAAATCCTGAGATCCTGAGCAGACACTCTTTTAGCATTTGTATGCACAATTCCGTACAAAATCTGCCTTGCAATGCAGTTTGATACCCTCACAATTAATCAACATATCCTTTCAGCACCTTTTGATTGAATAATGGAGAGAAATAAACACTCATTGCCATTTTCTGTCTCTATAGTCATAGATTTGAATGTTGAAAAGGTTCTGCTGAACGGATAGTGGTACCGTGACCCCATTCATCTTGATTTAGTCCATTCGCTGAGCTTTATGACAGTTGAATACCATGCTGCCAACCCACAGCACTGCATGTTATAACTCAGTCTTCACAAAAATCAATTTGTGTAACATATTTGAGAAAATGTTTGTGATGGGCTACATTTTCTGCATGGCATGGTGTTAGCCGACGGCCAAGGATGTTTGGTGAGGTGCCAGCTATGCCCGTTTATACCATCCGTGACTTTAACTGCTAGAGCTCAGAGCTCCTTCGCAGCGGGCAGCCAGGATTGACTGACAGGTGCCCCAAGAGTTTGCCCCGTGGAGGCGGCACAACTCAACGCTAGGCTCTTAGTACTCTCACCTAATGGCCAGGCTTTAGAGCCAAAACGGCTGAGGTTCTTTAATTGTGTTGGCTGCTTTACAGTAAACCAGAGAAAACAAGTCAGGCTTATGCACAAATGGTTACCAAAATTTATTAAGCTAGATTCTAATCATGTGGTTACAAAATTGCTAGTGCCTACTTATTTAAATGTAGAGATGTTACACACACAAACAAGTTACAAAACTGAAGCCACAATCCCAAAGAAAGAAAACAAAGTATAGAGCTCTATTTCAAAATATGTGTACACTAAAGATATGAGATCAGGTGTGGGTGCTTCTTACCCTCCTTGCATCTCTCGATTCCAGCGATGCCAAGCCAGGATCGGTCACTCAATTCCGCGGAAAGATGAATAAGGGACAAGGCTTAGGGACCCTCTTAGCTGCAGAAGCCTTGGGAGGCTGTCACTTATCTGACCAGCAGATAGATAGTGAAAAGCACTCCAAAAATCATGGTGCTGTAGGTCCCCTACTTATACCTCTGTACTCCTTTATTCTCTTTCTCCTTTCTTATGCCAAATTGAGGCTGGTCTGTCTGGGTGACGCCAGCTTTCGCAAGACTAGTTTACACTTGCAAGGGAGAGAAACAATAAGTTTCGACTACTGGACATTTCTTTTATCAGGGTAAATATTTTCCCACCTAGGATGTTGGTGTGTGTGCATCACGCTATTTAGTAGGGGCTAAGAGCCATGTCTGTCACAGGGCCTCTGCCTGCTGTGAGCTTAATCGTTGTATCTGTTCCCAGAGGCACATTGTAGCAGCACACCTGTGCTTTTCACAGCTTCAAAGACTGCTAGCCATCCTCATCTCTTGCCTGCCTGGTAGAAGATGGTACAATACGACTGCTAGCAATCCATATCGCCTGCCTGCTCACCATAAGATGGTTCAATAGGACTGACTGCAGGACTAAAGAGAACGACTTGATCAAG